AACAATAAGATGTTTAATATATGATGGAGCTTGGTTGTTAAGAGCTTTGTATGTTAGGAGTAATATTTTAAATTCTATTTGACAGGGAGCCAGTGGAGAGAAGCTAAAACTGGAGAAATATGATCTCTCCTTCCACCTCAGGAGTGGAGCTGAACAGATTGTTTTCCATCCTCTCAACACGGCCCTCTTCTTGTGTTTTCTCAGAGTTTCAGACTGGAGGCTCCAGGGAGCAGTTCTGCTTCAGCAGCTTCAGAGCTTGACCTGCCTGCTACCTTCAAGCCTTCAGGAGACCTACATGAAGAACTGCAGGAGCCTGGTGGAGGACACCAACCCCAGCCATCCTGCTCAGGAGGTCCAGATGGTTCTCAGAGACCTCCCAGCTCAAGGCCTGCTGCCTGACGGTCTGGTGGAGGCCTGCTGTACCTGTCTGCAGCAGTATGTTCAAGGAAAAGGTCAGGATTCCAAATCTCTGGCTGGTTCTGGACTGTTCTGGGTCAACATGGGCTTGGTACAGATCCAGCTGTGGACCCCGCAGACCATCTTTGACCCAGCTGTGAAGAGGGCGTACAAGCTCAACTATGCTCAGCAGGAGGTCAGTTTTCTGACACACATGATTTTATTTCTGCTAGAATTTATAAAAACCCTTTTTCAGGGATTGGTAATAAAGTATTTATTAATTAACTTTGTGTAATTATAACAGTTTAATCAGTTTAAATATAAATGAAATTTGTTTAGATATTTCATATTAATATTTGAATATCTTGATCCACACCTAATTTGAATATGTTTTTACTGTTTGTGTCATTATTTTCAAATGTTGTTGCCTGTGTCTGTTTGCAACACATTTCATGACCCATTGGATGGATTTAATGAAACTCTACATAAACAACGTACATCTGTCTGAACTTTTGGAGTCAACTAGATTCAAGATGGCAGCTGCATATATATATATAGTATACACTCACCGGCCACTTTATTAGGTACACCTGTCCAACTGCTCATTAACACTTAATTTCTAATCAGCCAATCACACTAATAAAGTGGCCGGTGAGTGTATATACACACATATACACTCACCGGCCACTTTATTAGGTACACCACTCCAACTGCTCATTAACACTTAATTTCTAATCAGCCAATCACACTAATAAAGTGGCCGGTGAGTGTATATACACACATATACACTCACCGGCCACTTTATTAGGTACACCACTCCAACTGCTCATTAACACTTAATTTCTAATCAGCCAATCACACTAATAAAGTGGCCGGTGAGTGTATATACACACATATACACTCACCGGCCACTTTATTAGGTACACCACTCCAACTGCTCATTAACACTTAATTTCTAATCAGCCAATCACACTAATAAAGTGGCCGGTGAGTGTATATACACACATAT